AGTCGAGAGCTCGAGCGCGCTGATGAGCAGGTCGGACACCTCGGCCGTAGACACGGATGGCCTGTTGCCGATGATGGAGGCCACCATTGCGCGGGCAAGCACCTGCTCGGCCTCCTCCATCTCGACCGAGTGCGCCATGATGACTCGCACGGGCTCCGAGGAGCGCGGCGCGGGTGCAAGGACCATCTGGACAGCGGGAGGAGGGGGAGGTGTGGCTGGGGCGACGCGGCAACGAGGCGGTGGGCTGGCGTGGCCCCTGCTGTTCCCGGGGCGCAGACCATCGCAGGAGCGGGAGTCGTGGCCGGAGGTGAGGCAGCGTCTGCACCAGATGTCATTGGTGCAGTCGCGCACGCGATGGCGGTGGTCCAGGCAGCGAAAGCAGAGACCGGTGACCTCCTCAGGGGAGGGGCTGGGCGGCGGAGGGCTGGGCGTGACAGCCGGGCGGGGGCGGCGGCGGTTGTGTCGCCTCGGCTGTTGGAAGCCGTCGGCGTCGACCGTAGCACCATTGGTGAAGCGGTGCACCTCCGAGCGTGGGCCGAGGCGGGTCTTGGCAAGCCGCCTGCTTGGTTCCATCGCGTGGCTTGGGGCAGCCGTCATCGGAGGCGCGGGGGGCGGAGGCAGAGTCCGGGCGACGTCGTTGTACGAGCGGGCGGAGGACTCGCTCCCCGAGTCGAGACAGCGCTCACCGGAGGACACGCGCTCGCCGGAGAGGGTCGCTCGGCGGTCGACAGGGTCAGCACCAGAGGACGCCATGGCCGCAGGCTTGGGGGTGGGGGAGCGACGGCGAGGCTGGTGGAGGAGGAAGGCTAGGTGGCATCGGGGCAAGGGCTTGCAGGGGACGCCGGCGAGGTTGGCGGAAGGGGAGGGCTAGGCGGAGCTAGGTAGGAGAGCGGAGCGAAGCGGAGCCATTTCTAACTACTTGCTCAAAAACTTCCGAACAAACCATGTATTGGGATGGATAAATGCGAAGTGTATGATTTATCAATATAGGTAAAGCAGGGTCTATCATTTGCTTGAGATCTCAATCATGTCCAAACAAGCTTTATGTGTTTGTTCTCCCGTTGCAACGCACGGGCATATTTTCTATAGATTCCTATTCGCAAGATCATCATTCTTATTATGATTGATTCCAATTGAGATCTGGCGTATGACCTAAGGACTCCCGTGAGCTTCCAAGATTAGACGAGATGAGCAAGTAGTAGGGGCTGGAAAAATACTACCCAGTAGATTGGATTTGTCGAACACAAGCTAACAAGGTTGCTGACGCAGGTTCCATTATAACATGGAGGTAATTTATGCATGATTCATCTTTCATGTTCGTTCTCAATTTAGTTGAAAATCATACCTCGTGTCCTGATCAAATGATCCATCATTTTTTTGGTCATCAGCAACTGTCATCCAACGACATAGTTTCTTGATCCTGCAGAATCATAGGAACCGGTGTTTTCTGCCATTGCAACGCACGGGCATTTTTGCTAGTATTAAATAAATTTTAAAAAATCAGATTTTTTGTGAAGAAAGATGCCTGAGTATGTGATGTCCATGCCAAATTTCAGAGCATTTGGATGTCAGAGTAGCTCTCAGCAAAAACAACAAATTTGGGGTCTCCGGGTGAGCCCAGGAGGTTATGGGCTCGCTTGCATATTAACCCACACATTCTGGATGGGACTCCGTGTTGGCCCCAAACTCCGGGTGAGGGTTTGGGCGAGTCCAGGAGCAACTGGACTCGCCCAGATAATTGCCTGGAGCTCAGCCCAAAACTCTGGTGAAGCCCAGAGACTACATTGTGTGTCGCAGAACTGGGTAACAGTCAGGTTTTAGTGGGCCACTATATAAGGTGTCCCTTGTTTCCTGAAGGCCCACGGCTTTGAACACTCTCTCTTCTCCATTGTTGAACTCCGAAGGTTGCTAGCTCCTCCACTTGTGCCCTACATCCTTGAGATATTTGAAGAAAAAAGAAAGAGGAGCCCCAACCTATGACTCCACCAAGCCAAATTTGATTCCCAGTTGAGTTCTGTGTGAAATTTGTTTCTCTTGGGATCGTGAGGATCTCTAGACGATTTGGGGTCGCGCGGAAGCTTCCAAGGTTGTGGATTTCCACCTCAAGACCTACATCTTAGTGATGAGCTAGGGCTTGGTCTGTCGAGGCTCGACAAGAAGGTACTTAATGCCGTTGGGGTACTTAGTGGCCGCATCTCTCCATTAGAGTCCACCTAAGCTTTGGGATACATCAACCAAAACCCCATCACTTCGGTTATTTCGTCCCCGAGCTTTGTTAATTGCTTTGAGTGTTACTTGCTTGCTTATCATGTTTATCCTTGTTGCAAGTGTTGCCGTATCATAGGTTGATTCATTTAATAGCATTTCAGAGAACTTATAGTTCCGCAGTCCTTAAATGAACTAAGAAAGTTCAAATTTGTAGTCACCTATTCATCGCCTCTAGTCGACGTCTTTGATCCTTCATAAAATACTATACTGTACAAATCATAAGCCCTACAGCCTTCATTTCAAAATATAATAAAGCCAATACTTCTGCGACCTTCTTTCAGAATATAAAGCCTGGGTCTTGCATAAATGATATGTCCTCTCATCTCTCGTATCATTTCTAGTTAGAAATACATACTAACTATTCTCTCTTCACTTTGAAAAACTGGTATCTCTCCTACTCCCTAGACAATAACACCATGGCTACCGTGGTCATTTTCTTTTACGCTAACAATAAGTTTTAGTTGGTAATTAATGTCCATATAAATAGGAGATTCATGTTCCGATTTCGTTAACCAAAGAAAAGTTAAAGCTTTCCCAATATAGTTTAACCATTTCTTGGAAAATATACACTTAACTTTCTTGAGTTCATTTTCATTCTGTTGTACTGCTTAGAAGCGTCCAGGAGCGCCACAAAATAACTTCCTACATTTCAATCGCAACGATTTAAAACTAGGTAAGCGGTAAGCCACAAGTCACCAGGCATTTAACCACTTGCCATTCACTAAACAGTTAAAGTAGAACAAACTACTAACCAAGCAAAGTATAGCAAAGCTGATGCTCTCAATTGTTGAAGTATATATGTGGATTACCTGGCCCTTTACATCAGCTCGGACTTTTGGTTGCGTTGGTTAGTGCATGAAGCTTAACATGGTAGCAGAGCTAAGGTCTTGAGTTCAAGACCTGGCTTTCAATCGCAACGATTTAAAACTAGGTAAGCGGTAAGCCACAAGTCACCAGGCATTTAACCACTTGCCATTCACTAAACAGTTAAAGTAGAACAAACTACTAACCAAGCAAAGTATAGCAAAGCTGATGCTCTCAATTGTTGAAATATATATGTGGATTACCTGGCCCTTTACATCAGCTTGGACTTTTAGTTGCGTTGGTTAGTGCATGAAGCTTAACATGGTAGCAGAGCTAAGGTCTTGAGTTCAAGTCCTGGCTTTCACAATTTATCTAAATATTGCCATTCCCCCCTTTGTGTCCACGTATAGCCCTCTTGAGCCATACCTCCGAGTCTATCCACGTGTTGACTTTCCGCGTCACACGTGAGAGGGGGTGTTGAAGTGTATATGTGGATTGCCGAGCCCTTTCCATCAGTTCGGACTTTTGGTTGTGTTGGCTAGTGCATGAAGCTTAACATACACCACCTATCAAGATCCAGGTTTCTTATTCCAATGGAATTTCCATCTTTTAACAGAGAGCCACTCATGTACCAATGTATTTCTTACACTACAAGACGCTCTCTTCCCATGTGAAAGGCATCAAAGTTATATTTGTTCAATCACATAGAAATGAAAAAGAAAATGAATCAAGCAGTAACATATCAACAATAGACATGTGCACCCAGGTGCAAGTGCTCCCTGAAGTACCACTACCACATCTACAAAATATTTGAAAAAAAATCAATAGATGTTTTAATATGTGCACTTGCAAAAAAATTGCACAGAAAAACTTGGATAACAAATAAATGGGTACAAATTGTTCTTTTGTTGTTGTGTACAGTAGAAAAATGGTCTTACTTCTGCAGAAAAAATTGCAAGAACATGTATTCTAAAAGATTGCACATGTATGATGTTTCTTTGAGAATTTGTTTTACGAATACACAAGTACACTTTTCAAAAGGGTAACACTGCAACTGAATGATGGAAATCTGTGGCATGCTTAAGTTAGGAAAACGATTCCCGTTGGTGGGGCGATCACATGCTCATGTCGTCCCACCCGTGCGCTCGCCACGTGTCCCTCGTGGACCCTCCACACCGCTTTCTCTCTCCCTTACCCCCTTCTCCAGAAACTTCTCAACGACTCGCCTCTCTCCCCGACCTGTTCTCTCGCCTCTCTCTCTTTCACCCATCTCCTACCTCCCGCCCATGGGCTTCTCCTCACAGCAAGCGGACATGGTATGCCCAAGCGCCGCTGCCCAACTGGTGGCCTCCATGTACCACCTCAAGCGGACGCAACGAGGAAGAAAAGCACTGCCTATGGCTGCGCGAGGGACAGCCGTTCTGCAAGCCCCATCCTCCTCCTCACCCATTGAAGCAAGCTGTACAGCGCTGCTGTGAGCCCGGGACAAGCGGTGCTGCGAGACCTGATGGCGGTGC